ACCTTTGTATCATATGCAGCACCTTCGGTGATTACTTCAGGTGCCATCCAATATCTAATCATAAAAAATTATAAAGTTCATTGTTAAAATAACGAAGTCGGGTCAGGAAGAAGAGTAATGCGGGAAATTAAAGGAAAATTAATAATCGCTAGATGAGAAAGATCTAAAGTTACAATTATTCTTTCCTGTAAATATATAAAGAGGTGTTATAAAAGGTGTTAGCCAGTGCGCAATTTAATAAATATAAAAAGAATTTCGTGTCCAGAGCCCCTAAATAAAAAGTTTCATGTCTCTGTGATTTTACACTTCCATACCCGTGCCAGATCGCAAATCTATAAATATTGGTAACATTAAGCGACCGTCGACTTTTGTGAAGGACAAACATCATATTGTTCTTCGTATTTCGATAGTCGTGTAGAGCCGCAATTGTTTCTGTCACGTTAAAAAATCTGGATCTTAATGATAACCGTTAGTCTATTACTTCTTGAAACCCATACACTAACATAATATTGATCATTCTCTTGTTAGAACGTTTAGACAGGATTAATAAATTAAAAGATAGTAGTTTATTGCGAAGAAGTGTAAGTGATGATTAGCACTGTTGACTTCTAGTTTGAAACGAGCATTCCTACAGACTACAGAGCATTATATATTCTGAATTTTTAAGGTGATCGCTCGTAGGAATTAAAAAATTTAAACAAAATATTTTTTTATTATCACATAACTATCGTCTTTATCTTGACTCTCTAAGTTCAATACTGTATATTGCGAATAAAACAATTGCTTTCTTTGTACCTATCCGGCCGTTATAAGTTATACATTAATCTTCGGCGTTAGGTGTTCAAAAATGGAAATGGGATCATGTGAAAAGATGAACACGTAAACACCGAAATTCGCGTATACACATGATCAGTGTTGTTACTAGCCTTAAGTCCAATACCGATACTTTTTTTTAGACTTAGCCTTAAGTCCATTTAGCCCTAGCCTTAAGTCCAATTGGTCCAAATCAAACAGTTTCTATGTCCAAATAACAACACTGCACATGATCGCGGAATCTAACTATTTACATAAGTTGACATAAAATCCAATAAAGCGGATTATTCATCTTTTTATATTTATTGACGGTAAATCTTATTGAAATTCAATTTCTCGATAGTGGGATTGATTCGCAGCTTTGTTGAAATTCGAATTTTTAATTATATCCATAATCCTGTGATTAAAAGAAAAAGATTTTGCCCTTAAATAATTGTATTCTCACTTTTCACACGTTGTTTCTGTGTTCCATTTTAACTATGCGGGTGTATACATAATGCCCATGGGATAAACGAGAATTATCAAATTTCTTTTTATCGAAAACTATTAGAACCGAAATGGTGCGTATTACAGCGGCTTTAAACGTATCTTTTTTGAAAATAACGAAAATAATTTAGAAAATATTAACTATCCATCAATTCAAGAAAATAACCAATTTATTTTTTATTCCGGTTTACTTTTTGTAATATTCAAGAGCAATGCTTCGTACAAATGTAAAATATTCATGAATGATGATAACTCTTTCAATTGATTGTATTTATTTGTAATGAACAAAACTCGATTTCCAAGATAAACAATTGAACTAATTAATGCAAAATTAATATGCTTTTGGTTGTTGAAGGAATTCGAAAGTAAATTAGATATCATAAAATGTGACTGTAAAAATAAGAGATGAAAGAACAAGATGATAAAGAAATAAAACCCGTAATAAATGCCAAAAAAAAAAACAAAAAAAAACTGATTTTCAGTCATCATCATAAGATCTAATAGTGAAATAAATTTTCAAAAGGAAAAATTTATCAGAAAATGACAAGGTTCAATTTAAATAATGAGATTATATAATTTTACCTTGGATAAGGCCAACGATCAGCATCGAAAGGATGATGCAATGCCTCCACCTCAAATGTCAAAAATTCTTTAAGAAAATCCAGCAAAGCTGATGGCAAATTAGAACTTTTTATAATGTAATCTTTATTACTTCCGTCGTATTGTAATTTTTTTAATGGAAATTTTTTTCTTCGAACAAATTCACATGCAGCTACGAGATGAAATCTACTAATTCCACATGGTTGATTTAACCCAAGTATCGCTATTGGAGCAATACATCCATTGAGAAATATCCTGACGTCATCCGGGGTGGCCATGTATTCGGTATGTAAATGTTGCAAGAATATCGGAAGCGATGGACCTAATCGTGCGTAAAAGTCTTCGTGATAAGATGTAACAAATCTCTTTGATACATGACAAAATGCTAAATATTCTAAATTTTGAAGATCTTGCAATAATTCAAGTGAATCATAAGGTTCTGAATTGATTCCTAAAACAAGATGACGAAGTTGACGACAACGTGGAGATATCGTTGATAATATATCTAATGGTGCAGTGTCCAATATTAAAGTAGTCAACGTAGAACTCGCGGCGGAAAAAACTAAATGTATATTTTCAGGATGAATAACGTTGTTTTTGCAAAAAATTTGTATAATCGGTAGGGAATTCAGTTCCATATTAAATGGTTGATCGTGTTGTTTACAACCAATAAGCATAAGTTTTTTTAACATTTTGCAAGTGGATAAAGTACTAAAGAAGGTGTTGGTGAGGTTCGTGTGAAATATTTCCATCTCTTCCAAAGAAGTATTATCTTGAAGGGCGGTCAAGAGTTTATCGATTAGCAGTGCATTATTTCCGGTAGAAAAATGAACTCTGATAAGTTGATCCTGAGCTTTTACTAATTTTGGTAAAAAATCATGAAATAACTGTGATTCTTCACCCACACGAATATATAAAGATCTTATTTCATGACAGCGTGACGCCCAAATCTTTATAAGATACGAAAGATTATGTAGATCAATTATATTTGTTATACGTGAATTATAATCCACTCGTGCGATATGGAGTTCACTGATCCGTTGAACACACCGAACATAAGCCCACGGTGTTATATCTTGAAGAACACTGATCCACGGAGAATCTTTGATCGCGATTTTATTTAGAAAGCAGTTGACGAAAATTACTCGAAGAATTTCAGCCGACAAATGAGTACAAAATACTATCAATGGATCACCAGGAAACGGTGCATTAACTTCAACAGTCGCATATCTTGTTATCCAACGTGCTATACCTCGACTCAACTGATCCAACTTGAGTACTTTTATAAAGGACGGGTAATTGAAATGTGGTTGGGGAGTAGTTGGCAAAATAATTCCGTAACGGATAAGATGCGGTTTCGATACATTTGGGAGGCAACTCACCAAAGTATTGACAAGAGCGATAACTTGTCGCGTGTTTAAATTTTCGTCAAAAGGGTCTGACCATAATAACATCACAGCGTGAGTTACCAAAACGCGATTTACCAAAGCACAAGAATGTAAAGTTAGTCTATCATTTTTAAAATTTTTTAATATAAGACACCAAATATCTAATGATAGAGGTGGCGCCATTTAGAGATGGTAAGAGTGTAAAACCTTATCACTTGCAACTATGAATCATTTTTATAGTAAACCGTGATTATCAAACGTGACGTAAGATATAATAATGAATGCTCTTTGTCAACAATACAACAATCATCCGAAATTATCATAAATTATCAGAAATTGATATTGTTAGCATTTATAAAATTTACAAAATTTTTTATTTAAAATGATTTTTTGATTAATTTTATTTGATAAATTATATATATATATATGTATATTTATATATCAATATATATATTATACATTAATATATCGAATTATATCAATATATTGATATTTTAGGGATTTAAAAATACATCATAATATATAGTAAATTATTACCATAATTCATCTATTTGTAACTTGTCTGTTAACTGTAAAATTGCCATTTTATAAACTTTTTTATATTGCTCTATTGGACCACCAATTCTACGCCAATCTAATTTTAAAGCATCCTTGATTAATCTTCTAACAAATAATTCACGTTCTACAAGATTCATTGACATTTTTCTCCAATCATAAACAGCATCAGTTAGTGCATATTTCAACCCTATAACTGATGAATCAATAAATTCTTCATCTAACTCAAAAAGATAAGAATTATAATAATTTGTTGTATCAATTGTTTTATTTATCAAAATTTCACTTAAATCCCCAATATAGATATCAGAACTAACCACCGGTGTACCAAATAACAAACCTTCTGCAGCAACTAACCCAAAATCTTCTGATAGGTCCGGTACATATTGAATATCAGCTGCCGCATAAAGATGAACATCCCATTGTTCACGAACTTCGGGTTCATAAATAATAATCAAGTGGTCAGAATAGTCTTCTATCATTTTTTTTAATTTTAAAACAGGATAATTATTTCTTTGCCCCATTATTACAAATTTAGCATTTAAAGCTGCCAAAGTACTTGTTGCTTCCAGAAAAAATTGAAATCCTGTGACTTCAAATTTTCCAACGAATAACACCAATGGGCGTTCAAGATCTTCTTCACTCAGTAGTCCTTCTTGAATCAAATATTTCTTAGCATTGAGTTTTGACACAACTATCAAATCTTTTGGAGAAATATTTACGATATTATCATATATATCTGATGGGTCTAAAGTATAAAGATTTTCTGGAAAAATCGCATTGCTTTCTTCAAGAATTCGATTTTTAAAAGGATTGGGTTCTGTGACATCAAATCCATATGATATACCAATCCAACGTCCTATGCTTGCCTTGTTAATAATATTTGGTAAAACAAGTTCTTTAAAATCGAAATCCAATGGACCTTCTACCATTTCACGAGCTATCTCTTCTGACATAAATGTAACCATCTGTGATTTATCAACAGCAAGCGAAGAAACAAATAACCTATTATCACGAATATATTGTGAATTTTCATACTCATATTGATCCATACTTTTTGCATCCAAGAACTTATCTACGTCTTTAAGATCATATGAATGAAGATGGTCATCATAGTAATTGTGTAATGTATAAACTATTGTTGGATCCTTTCTTTTAAAATTTATCTGGGTATTTTTTAAAAATTCAATGACCATAGCATTTGTTGTACCATGTATATGTACAACATCTACACCACGACTATCTCGATTGGAAAAAAGGGGAGTATCAATCATGGTATTCCTATAAGTAATGAATTCAGCAGCAGCTTTACAAAAATATAAATCCCTCCATTCTAAAGAAAATGATTTTTTTGGAGTATATAATTTATCAGCAAAATTTATTTTGAATGCTTGATTGAATGGTGGCAAATTTTTTGTAGATCCGATCATAAAAACATTAATATTCCCAAGTGAAGAAGTTTTTAACACGAATTTAGAAGTTAAAAAACGGGCATATTTCCATTGACCATCGGCATCACGAATTTTAATTCCTAGTTGAACATATTTTGTGGCTTGATATTTTTGTTTTAAAAAGGAATAATATGGTATAATTATGTTGACACTCATTGAAGTATTAGCAGCTTGTGCTTTTACAAGACCGGTGACTATTTTACCCAGGTATCCTTCTGTAGCAAAATCAAATTCTTTAGATACATGATAAATCGTGATTCCAGGTGGTAATTCTGATGTTATATTCGGATCAATTCCAAGATATTTGACCGGCATATAAATTTTTTTATCTTAATATAATCAATGAAATTGTAATTAATACATTACTTTTTTTATCGATGATTATATTAACAAGAAATCTTGAAAAAACTTACCAGCATAATGCTCCGGTCCTGTTTGCTGTTGTACATTCTCCATTGATGGAGTTCCATTAATAATTAAGAATATGACAAATATTATACCAAGTATTGGCAAATATCTCCATCTATTACTATCGATGTAATAAAGTATACTAGAAAATCTTCTTTTTAGCATATTCCAAGTTCCATTCGTATACCAATGTTTTGAATAATAGTTATTATTATTAGTAAATTGTGTGTATTTTGTTGACTGTTTATTATTGAACAATGATAAAAATAATTGACCATGATTTGAATTTAATGGAGTATTTTGGTCAGACTGTGATCGAATTTTTTGTTTTGTATGCATTTTATGTTAAAAACGGGTTTGTTATGATTAAAGGTATTAATTATGGGTTCGAGTTTGTTGGAAAAGGATTATCGAGATTAATTAGACATATATATAAAATATTTTCTTTTCGATAAAAACGAAAAGCGATGTTAGAAAGAAAAAGACCTTAGTTTCAAATTTGATTTGCGAAAGATTTGTTTGGTTTTTAATTCGTTCAGTGTAATAAAATAGTGTTACCAAAACATAATTTGTTTGCTATATGCGTCGTAACAAATTTGTAACTGAATCTGGTGTACATTAACGTCAATATTTATATAAATTGAAATATTTGAATTTTTAATAAAAGGTTAGTGCTGCATATCATATGTTAAGTACTAAGCCAAGTAAATGAAAAACTCGATTAAATTTTGGAGTAGTGTAACACGTAATAAATTTTTTTTTTTTTTTGCATAACTACCTTATTGAAAAACCTAATATTCGATACTATATGAGGAAGAGAGTACTGTATAACGATAAGGAGAAAATGCTATAGCCGTACGATGGGTTTATCGAGATGAATGATGGTTTATATATACTGTACACTTGGTTTAATAAATTTTGAAACATCTGGTAAAAAATTGACCGAATGATTATTTAGCCAATTTGATAAGTTTGTGATTTTCAGTGATGTTCGATTACGTATGATGTGTATGATATTTACGGAGCGAAATTTATAGTTCAATAAAATATGAGTGCTGCCAAAGGAAAATGGTTTAAAATATATTGTTGTTTATATATATAGCTCATTAATATATAAAATAAATTTCCGTATACGTATTAAATTTATATTAAATTCTCTCATGTATATCAACTTTAAATATTATCTCGCATTAATATGAATATAAAGCATCCAAATGGGTTGACAGTAATGAGGATCAAATGCACTTTAAAAACCAATGTCACATTTTTCTTTGGCAGATATAGTAGTGATGGATCGATCCGTTTACATAAATTCTTGAACTGATATCGGCAAGTTTTTTTTAGGTATCCCACAATCCCTATCCCGGCCGAATTCTTGATTTGGCATGATCAGTGAAAAGTCCTCATGAAGTCGAGTTTTAATTTCGGTCCGAAGTCAGCGAGTCCTAATAGTCACATGCAATATCATATGTCGTATGCGCATAATTGTAAAAAAATATGCACTTTTAACGACTTTTAACTTTTCTTGCATGCATAGTTAATTCATTGTAGCATGACATTAAAATTGGCATATGCATGTGACTATTAGGCCCCGGTCCCAAGTCCCATTTGGGACCGAGTCTAAATTACAGAACAACTCGACTTCATGGAGTC